TCCTTTACAATGGAGCTACCAGGAAAGTTGTAGAAGTGGTGTGCGAGTAATTGCAGTGGTTGTCACTGTAGACTGGTTGGGAAAGGTAAGAGACATCAACGCCATAGGAAGTGGCCTGTGAGGGTCATTTTAGGAAGCATTTTCCAGCGATTTAGGCAATAATGGGTGGTAGTTTGAGTGTGGACCGCTGGTGGCTCCATTAAAGAAGAATGATGGTATTTTTCTTCTTTTTTGTCTTTTTTGACTTTTGATTTTTAAGTATATATTTGTGACTGATTTGTCATATTTCAAAAATTTGGGTTATAGTTGCAATTAGCTCTTTATTTTTCTATTTTGTTATTTTTGTTTTATTTGAATAGGGGGTAAAATCAATTTTTTATTCGAAAAATAGATGAAAAACACCTTTTGAGCAATGAAAGGTGGAAATATGGGTAAAATGTCAAAAAAGAAAGGTAATGACTTTTTGTACAATAACATTGAAAGTTAGGAAAGTTTTGTGCTATTTAGTCAACTTTAATATGTTATTCATATAGTAAAATTTAAATTTCGATCAAAACATATACTACTCTATAGGGGCACCTAAAAAATCAGAATAAAATATGCAAAGAAATTCATCTTAAGATTGTTAAAAAAGTTGGTACATAATTCAATTTCTTTTAACTGAAAACACGTTTATGCAAATACGAAAAAATGGCAACTTACTGGTACAAAATATCGATAGTTTTGAATTATTAAAATCAATATTCACACATGAATATACATATAAATTCCAACTTATTGAAACACTGAAATTATAAGAAGATGAAACGAAGTGAGTTATATAATTGCAATCTCTTTAACGTGTATTTCGTCCCGTGCACTGGTGCCAACAAAATAAAATGGATATTTGTCTTCCAAGATACAATGCCATTTTTCCAAATTAATACAACACAATATTATTTTTGTCGAATGAACTAAAGTATTGACAATATTCTTCACGAACGAAATTGACACGAACTAAAATTGTTTAGATAGAATTTTTTTTGGAAAATAATTTGGACGTAATATAATTCACAGAATATAAACAACTGAATATTTTTGAAGAGAGGAGAAAATTTAGAAATTATTTTTTCTTGAATTGGTTTGGTGTAGGAAATATGGAATTATAGGTCCCTATTTATAGATTTTCAACTTTCTTTTTCAAATGATTGCATCTTTTGACATAAATTTTTGTGAATCATTAGATTATACTTTTTTGAATTTAATGGTCTACATTGCATCCTATCAAAAGGTTGTGACTTTTATTTTCATAATGCACCTTTTTTAATAACACATTCAATTCGAAATGATACGACTCTATGACATGCACCATTTATATTTGAAGAGTTGTAACTAATGATCGGCATCAATTTAAAGTTTTTTCAATTCATACCTATAAAAATAATCCCGTAAATTTCAACATAATCAACATGTATTTAAGCTTATTTTTTATTCTCTTGTTATTTCATTGCATCTAAAAATTCTGTCAAAGCTACATGTTTGAGATGACTCTTGATTGTATAACAAAAGAGGAATGAAAATACTTTATTTCATAGTAAGTTTTTAACATGTACCATTTGTTAGAATTTGGATGTGACCCGAATTTTTTGATGAAAATAATTGAAAGTTCTAATTAATGTGCAGATTAAGAAGAAATCTATTTAGAATGTTTTTGGAATCCTATTCAAAGTCTATTGGCAAATTCTTGTTGAAATTATACTTGAAAGCCCTATCGAGAGTTGAAATTTGTGTTGGACTTAAAAAGATCAATATAATGAAACTTTTGGGCATTTTATTTCATCCACCACTATGCTTCTAGAGCTTGGATCTTCCAATTTATGTAATTGCTGAAATTGTATTTTTTTTCTCTCTATTGGTTGTCAATTAATAAAATTACTCGGTTCCTCTGTCAGTCTCTTCTTGTTTTAATCTTATTCTTATTTGGGCGATCAATACCTCATTTTGTATTATATAACCTCCTTGTTTCCCAACAAGTGGTATCAGAGCTATAGGTTGTGATTTTGTTTGAGGCTTTCTGTTATCCATGGCAACCATGAAATACGAAATTTCCTGTTTCAAATTGCAATTTTGTTGTGGCAAATGAAGATGATTGTATTGGTGCAGAAGTGTTGTTGGAATTCGATAAAATGCCTACAACTTGGACAATAAAGGATAAACAATGAAAAGATCGGAAGGAACTTTCACATATTCATCTTCATCTCTCTAACAATATTCTTTAGGACGTTTTGAAAGAGAAGACACCAGTTGCGTTGTGTTTAAAACTGGAGCAATTGTGTATCACCAAAAGTCTGACAAGCAAATTGCATCTGAAGCACAGGTTGTATTCTGATCGTATGGTAGAAGACGGATCTTTAAAAGATCATATGGCTGTGTTAAAGGAGATCATCGTTGATTTAGAGACATCGGAGGTAAAATATGATGATGAAGATTTGGCCTTAATCCTGTTGTGTTTGCTACTTGCTTCATTTACTTTGTTTAGGAACATGATTTTGTATAGTCATAATACTATCATCTTTGAAAATATGTATGATGCCTTGTTCTCAAAGAAGAAAATGAAGCATATAATGGGAGCCGAGTCCAGAGGTGAAGAAGCTCTTGCAATTTATGGTGATCTACAAATGGGTAAATCGAGGGTAAATTTTCGCAATCAATTTTGTTTCTATTGCAAAAAGAAATGACACATTAAGAGAGATTACGAAAAATTGTAGATAAAGTTATTTTGCCTACAAATCATGGGAAATAATCAAACACTTCGAACGAGACCAACATAGTTAAGGACTATTTGAGTGATGGAGATGTTTTGACAATTTCTGACGTGGAATCCAAACCTGATGAGGAATGAATATTGGATACTTCTTGTGCATTTCTTGTGTCCCAATCGGAATTTTTTTGAAGCATATAAAATGGTTATACAAGGTGTCATTGTCATGGGAAACAACGAACCTTGTCAAATAGCTGGTAATAGCAGGGTCAGATTCAAGTTGATGGATGGGATAAATAGAACATTTGGCCAGGTTCGAGATGTTTTTTGAAGAAGAGTATCATCTCACTAAGTACCCTTGATTTGAAAGGTTATAAGTTCTCTGGAAGAGGTGGAGTCTTGAGGATCTGGAAGGGTTTCGTAGCTTTAATTGCTACATAAATTCAAATCATTTGGTATCAGAGCGTAGATCCCAAAAATCAAGGTTATATCCTCTACTTTTTTGTTTGAGTTATATCCTTGCTCTTCGTGCTCTTTATCTTTTGAGTCATTTGATCAAATTTAAGATCCAAATAATTCAAAAATTATTTGTGTGCTAAATTAGTGCCCAAATTAATTTCTTTTTGAATTTTTGGATTTTGAATTCGCGCGTTTTTACAGAAGGGGAAAAATGAAAATCACAAAAAAAATATAGCTATTACAAAAAAAGGTCTAAAGTAAAAAATGTCCAATTCAAATTCAAAAAACACCTTGAATTTATCATTAATGTTCCATTCGAGTGTCTATTCTTAATTCTTGAGTTATTCTAGAGTCAATTTTTTCTTACTCCATTCTTTGTTTGAACTCCACAAGGATTAAAATTTGATTGAAATCGAACTAATTCTTTGAAGCGCTTGCAATGAAGCATTAGTGGAAAAGACTGAGTGGTGAGACTAATATAGCTTATATTTGATTGCCATAACTATTCGGAGGAAAAAACGTAAAACCTAATGTCGTTAAGTTTACTGATTATACTATCGTTTGGTAAGATCGACTAGCAACATTTAGAAGAAAAAATCATGAATGGCCTATTGATACATGAGAATAATTGAAGGCAATCATGAGAAAGAGGTTCGTCCTTAATCATTACTATACAGACTTTATTAAAAATTACAAAGCCTATATCAAGGATCTAGGAGTGTGGAGAATTATAACAAGGAGATAGAGATTGCCATGATTAGAAAAAATGTTGAGGAGGATCGGGAGGCTACCATGGCCCGATTTTTTAATCGTTTGAATGGAGAGATAGCTAATGTGGTAGAACTACAACATTATGTGGCGTTGAAGGATATGCTATTTATAGCCATTAAGGTGGAGAGGCAGTTGAAGAGGAAGGGAGTAGCTAGATACCCGTCGAGTTCCAACTCGTCGTGGAAATCGAAGTGGAATAGCAATAAAGTTGATGGGGTTGTTTCAAAAAGTTAAGCTTAGCTAACAAAAGAAAGAGAGGAAATTGCTAGCAAGGTTACACTCGAGGTGGATTTCCAACCTTTTAGAAATTGGGATATCAAATACTTTAGGTGCTTGGGATCGAGGCAAATTATGTCTCAATATCCCAAATAAAAGGGCAATGATCTTGTGTAATAATGGAAAAATAGTGAGTGATAGTGATGGTGATGAGATGCTTGAATTAGAGAATGCTAGTTATGGTGATGGAATAGAGTACCTGGTCTTGGGAAAAACACTTGTGGTGATGCGTGCTCTCAACACACAAATTAGAGCGGATGATGTGGAATAGCAACAGGAGAACATCTTTCATACTAGATGACATGTCAACAACAAGATATGTAGTTTGATTATTGATGAGGGTAGTTGCACTAATATTGCTAGTACTACACTTGTTAAGAAATCAAGATTGACCATGATAAGACATCTTAAGCCTTATCAATTGTAGTTTTAGATGAATGTGGAAAGGTTAAGGTGAATAGGCGAATGTTGGTGAGTTTTTCATTTGAGAAGTATCATGATGAAGTGATATGTGATGTAGTTTCTACGCATGCCGGGCATTTTTAATTTGGGAGACCATAGCAATATAATAGGAAGGTGAAACATGATGGATTCAAGAATAGGTACGACTTTGTAAAAG